GAAGGAAGAAGGGAGGGAGAGTGGGAGAGTAGGAGGGAGGAAAGGAGGGAGGGAGGGAGAGACGGAAGGAAGGAAGGAAGGAAGGAAGGAAGGAAGGAAGGATGTTAGGAAGGAAGAATTCAATCCCGACCAGCTCAAGGTGACTCAGCCTTCCATCCTTCCGAGGTGGGTCAAATGAGGACCCAGATTGTTGGGAAAAGAGGCTGATTCTGTAAACTGCTTAGAGAGGGCTGTAGAAGCACTGTGAAGTGGTATATAAGTCTAAGGGCTTATATACTGTACCTGTTTAGGCAAAATAACCCAAAACTCAAATGATGAATGGGTCATTTGGTACCTGGCTCAAAAGTAGTAATTGGGAAACTGGCCACATAGATGGGTGAATTTATGTCACATAATAAGGACAATTAATAAGTCCTTGCACTTATGACCATTGCAGCATCCTGGCAGTCATGAGATCAATATTTGCGAGCTTGTAACCGCCATTACAACAGCTGCTGTGTCCCACGATCACCATTTGCGATCTTCCCAGCTGGCTTTCGACTAGCCAAGTCAATGGGAAGAACCAGATTTGCTTAATGGCCGTGATGATTCACGTAATGACTCTGGCAAAAGCTCCTTTAAAGTCTGCCTCACTTGGTGGTGGATGTTCTAGTCCCAATTGTCACAAGTCGAGGACTTAGTTCAGAGGTGGGTTGCTACCAGTTCGGTAGTGAATTGGTAGTGGAAATTGAGACTGGGTCACCGAACCGGTAGGGAAGGCAGGCTGGCCACGCCCCTGAACCAGTTCCCAAGTCGCACCTGCTGTTGCCGGCATGTTTTTTAGCTGTTTTATAATGTTCTGCGCATGCGCAGGACAATTTATAAGCAACTGTGCATGTGCAAGCAATAATATAATAAGGACAATTAATAAACTAAGTTTTTTTAAAAAATTGTTTGCATCTGTTTCCAGGCACTTTGACAGAGGGATTAACGATTGGCTGTGCAAGTAAGTGGTTTTGGGTTGCAATTCCTATTTGGTGCTTCCCAAATACGGGGCCACAACTGTTGTGGTCTCGCAACATGGGATGGATCCTTCACTGACAAGAGAACAGACCCACCAGCCAGTCTCCTGAACCTCACCTACTGTGTTGGTTTCCAGATACGTCTACGATTACATTGGGAAGGATCACGACAACATCTTCAAGGAGCTCTTGGCCACCATCTCCACGTTTCTCATTACCACCCTCTGGCTGGGGCCTTGCGAAATTGTCTACATATGGTCCATTTGCAACTGCTTCGGCCTCAACTTTGAGTTGTGGGTGCAACAGTTCTTCCAGCTGAGGCCGTTTGCAGAGAAAGAGGTACTGAGTAAATCCTTCGTGCACAGGGTTTACTTTGCAGGATCTTCCAAACCAGTTCAACTATTACAAGAAAGCTGCCAGAATTGCGACCTCTTCTTTCCCAATATTTTCAAGAAACTAATCGTTTTATACCACGGTGTAGAGCAGGGCTCAGCAATCTTAAACACTCAAAAGAGCCACAAAGCCCCCATTCAATTCTGGAGCTGACCGGAAATCTGGTTTCCCCCATCATAGAGTCTCCTCCTGGCGCAGCGTCTTTTTTTCCTCTACCTGTCCTAACCGTAAGCCCTACCAATTTGGAGCCAATTGGCGAAAGGTAGTCACAGCAGAGGGATGAAAGAGACACAGGTTGCAAATCCCTGATGTAGATGTGTTGTAATATAGTTCCTTGTGTAGGTGTGTGTCCCCCATGGCCCAGTTCATCCCGGGCATGCAGAGCCACGCTGAACCACACAGGAGAAAACAAACTCCTAGAACGCCATAACATCCTGATAGTGCATAACATAACATTCTGAGATGTGCCCTACCATTGACGTCCAGGATTTGACCATATATAGACTGAGCAGTAGATTAGAAATTGTACTTTTACAGGCTGTTTTTACTCACATGCTATTGCTCCTCCTGCCTTTGTCCTATCTCAATAAAAGGGGCTCTCAGACCCCCAATCTGGGTCGCTCCATCCAGAGAAAGGTCGTGTCCTGTCTTTTCTCCACATTGGCTTCATGGACGAACCACGGGAACGTTACATAGATGGATACTCATGAGCAAATGGGCCCTGGCTTCCAGATATCCATGTTCCTGTTTCATAGATATTTTAGCGAGTTGCATCTACAGGTAGTTCTCCGCGTACAACTTTCATTTGGTGACTTGTTCAGTTTCACAGCACACAAAAAAAGTTACTTGTGACTGTTCTTCACAATTTGGATGGTTGCAGCATTCCTAAGATCACGTGATCAAAATTTGGGTGCTTGGCAACTGGTCGGTATTTATGACAATTGCAGTGTCCCGAGGTCATGTGATCGTTTTTGTGGCCTTCTGATAACGAGGAAGCCAGATTCACTTAACAACCATGTGACTAACTTAACAACTACAGTGATTCACTTAACATCCATGGCAAGAAAAGTTATAGAACCGGACAAAACTCACTTAACATCTGTCTCGTTTGCCAACAGAAATGCTGGGGTCATTTGTGGTTGAAAGTCTAGGAGTGTCTATATTTTGAGTGGGTCTTATTCCCACCTGCTGCACACCAGCACTAAATTTGGGCAGGAAAACGAGGTAAGAAATATTCGCATCCTCCTTGTCTCACTGATGTCCCTTCTACTTGGCAGGCCAACATGTCTGAGGCAACTTCTCGGAGAATCAGAAGCATCTTTGGGGCAGCCAATTTCTGGGCAATTGTTTTCTATAACATCCTTGCCCTGAATAGTCTGGAGTTTGCCCTTCTTCTTGCCAAGAGGATCTTCCTAACTGGTACAGTCTTTTTTGGCTCAGTTTCACTATCTCTTGTGTCAATTTCGCTATCTGTTTAGTCAATTTCACTTTCTAGCTATCAATTGCACTTTTCAGCTGTCAATTTCACTCCCTGCCTGTCAATTTCACTCTTCAGCTATCAGTTTCACGCTGTCAATTTCACTCCCCACCTGTCAATTTCACTCCCTACCTGTCAATTTCCCTCCCCACCTGTCAATTTCACTCCCCACCTGTCTATTTCACTCTCCACCTGCCAATTTCACTCTCCACCTGTCAATTTCACACTGATGAAATTGACAGGTGACATCTAGGAATGACTAGGGGCCTACATCTTAAGGCTAGGCCAACTTTTTGAAGACATCTCTATGTTCAGAGTGGAAAAGGACTCCTCTCCTGATCCAGGAGAAGAGGGTCTGCTAAACTTCTGATTAAATGTCACGCATCTCCTGAAGTTTCCTCAGAAGTTCAGGGATGTGGTTTTTTTATTCGAAACATCCCTTCTCTCACTGAACCCGAGCTCCCTTTCAAACCTCCCGGTGGAAATTCTTGCAAATGGGGTTTGATCTTCTCCAGTGTGATATGAATAACATTCATCTTCCATCAGGCTTTGTGTTGTTCAAGAGATGTGACAACTCAACCCAGCTAACTCCATGTTGATGGTCTCCTCCCTTTCTCTCCCTCTGTCCCTCTTTTTCCCTTCCACCCTTTTCCTCCCTCCCTCCCTCGCATGCACACATGCTCTATCCCTCTATCCCTCTCCTTCCCTCCCTCCCTCTCTCCTTCCTTTCTCCCTCTCCCCCTCCCTCCCTCTTTTCCTTTCTCTCTCCCCTTCTCTCCCTCCTTCCGTTCTCACTCCTCCTCCCTATTTTCCTTTCTGCTTTGTCTCCCTCCCTCCCTCTCTTTTGTCTCCTCCCTCTCTCGTCCCCTTCTCTCCCTCCTTCCTTTCTCTCCCTCTTTCTTCCTTCATCCTCCTCTTCCCAACTCCCTCTCTTCTTCTCCACCCTTTCCTTCTTTTTCTCTCCCTCCTTCTCTCCCTCCCTCTCCTTGTTTTCCTTCTCCCCCCCACCCTCCTTCCTTCTCTCCCTCCCTCTCCCTCTCCCACTTTCTCTCTCCCTCTCTTTCCCTTCCTTCCCTCAACATCTTTCTCCCTCTTTCTCTCCCATTTCAGGTTTTCCTCTTAGCACCTTCTCCATCTGGTTCATCACATACTGTGGTGTGCAACTGATCAAAGAAAGGGAGCGGATCCTGGCTATCAGAGAGGAGGAGAAAGACAAGGAAAAGGCAGAATAATGGAGAAAGGCAAAACCACAGGTGCAACTCCAGGGCATCTGAGCTTTGTTTAACCCGGGTGCCTCAAAGCTGCAGAAGAGCCACGAAGCTCTCCTGCATTGCTCAGTTTTCCAAAATAAAGAATTTATTTATGCAAACATTGGGAAAAAATTCTTTCTTTTTTCCTCTCTTCCTTCTCCCTCTCCCTCTCTTTCTTTCTTTTCATACATTCTTTCTTTTTCCTTCCTTTTTCTTCCCTCTTTCTCTCCCTTTTTCCTTTTAATTCATTCTTTCTACTTCCTTCTTTCACTTCCTCCATCCTTCCATATTTACCTCTCTTATTTCCTTCTTCCCCTTCTCTCTGTCTCCTCCTTTCCTTCCTTGCTTTTCCCTCCCTCTTTCTTTTCATTGATTCTTTCTTTTTCCTTCCTTCCTGTTTCTTTCTTATTTCTCTCCCTTTCTTTCCTTTTCATCCATTCATTCTTTCTCCTCCTTTCCCTTCCTCCATCCTTCCATATTTACCTCTCTTATTTCCTTCTTTCTGTCTCCTCCTTTCCTTCCTTCCTTCTTCCTCTCTTTCTTTCTTTCCATCCATTCTTTCTTTCCTCCTTTTTCTCTCCTTTTTCTCTCCTCTTTCTCTCCCTCTCTTTCCTTTTCATCCATCCATTCTTTCTCATTCTTTCTTCCTTTCACTTCTTCCATCCTTCCATATATACCTCTCTTATTTCCTTCCCCTTCTCTCTGTCTCTTTCTTTCCTTCCTATTTCTTTCCTCTTTCTCTCCCTCTCCATTCTTTTCATCCATTCATTCTTTCTCCTTCCATTCATTCTCTCTCCTTATTCCTTCTTTCCCTTCCTTCTTTCCCCTCCTCCATCCTTCCGTATTTACCTCTCTTATTTCCTCCTCTCTGTCTCCTCCTTTCCTACCTTCTTCCTCTCTTTCTTTCCATCCATTCTTTCTTTCCTTCCTTCTTCTCTCCTCTTTCTCTCCCTCTCTTTCCTTTTCATTCATTCTTTCTTCTTCCTCCCTTCTTCCTTCTTTCACTTCCTCCTTCCTTCTCTATTTCCCTCTCTTATTTCCTTCTTCCCCTTCTCTCTGTCTCCTCCCTCCCTCCCAACCATGTGGAAATGAAGATTACTCCAAAGAGCTGGGAATGTATGCAGCTCGGTGATCAAAAAAGTCAAAATGGCGGCCATTCCTGTAATAAATGTCTTTACGGCTCTTGCTCAGGCAAAGCCTCTTGGCCGCCATCTTAACTATCTCTTGCAGGGATCCCCGGAAGCATAATTCATCCCATGAGGCCTCCTGCAAAGTCCTGAAGTCAAACCAACAATGGAACTCAAAAGACTTAGGATGAAGGTTAGTTCTCCGAGCTTGTGGGTCGGTTTCTGAACATTTCGTTACCAGCATCTTCAGCGGAGTTTAGGGGGGTATCCTGGAGTCACAAGACCCATCACAAGATTCTCTCTTGACACAGCCACACCTGAAGCCCTTGCAAACAGAACAACACTCTCAGACATCCCTCTAAACTCCGCGGAAGACGCTACCTGTCCTGGTAATGAAATGTTTGGAAACCAACTCACAACCTTGGAGAACCAACCTTTGCCCTCGTCCTACACCTGAGCTACAGATATTCGTCACTCTTCCAAAAACCCAACATTGCACTGCTAACTAGTTTACATTTACAGGCACCATGGACAGGTCCATATTACCCTACAGGTTGTCCTCCACTTACGTCCGTTTGTTTAGTGACCCTTCAAAGTTACAGCGGCACTGAAGAAAGTGGCTTATGACCACCTTTTCACACGTATGACCGTTGCAAGCGTCCCCATGACCATGCGATCAAAATTCATACGCCCCTCAGAGAGGGTTCACAATTTGGGAGTCCTCCTGGACCCACAGCTGACTCTAGAACACCAT